AACAATGCATTTCAGGGTGACAGTGATGGCAAATCTTGATATTCTCCCAGGCAACTTGTAAGATAGTTATCACTAGTTTTATTGAGCTTCAGCTTATCTGCATTTTAAACTTTTGTATTTTTCAAAAACTGTTAAGATTGCCATTAGTTTTACCAAGTGATTTGTAAGTGCCAATGCCTGCCAATTAATTCAGGCGGCCATAGCAGCAACCGCTTCTCATCCGAAGGGCTGAATCACTTGAGAGCTCACAGCTTTCAAGGGCCAAATGATTCAACAGCCAAGTTACTTTGCAAATTGGGATGAGGAGCGTAGGATATTAGACTTCCTTTTAGTTTTCTTCCCTTCTGGCAATTCAGATGTGAATTCTCTAATAGTGACTTATTTTTCCTTTGATTTCTTTCCAAAATAATATGTACTTGTTATAAATTCAAACTATACATACTTATATAACACAGAAAGTAGACATTTCGAAAGAGCTACTGTTAACAGTTTGGTGAACATTCCTGAGATGTTATTTTCTTTACATATTTTAACATTCTTTTTAACAAAAAGTAATATTTTGTTTTGCAACTTTCTTTTGTCTTCTAGCAATGTGCCTTAGAAATTTTTGCAATTCGGTTTATATATATCTGTTTCATTTTTAACAATGGTGTGAATTTCCATCCTATCATTATGTCAGAAATCATTGAATTAGCCCCCTCCAGCCTTAGTCTAAGTGCCATGCAAAATACCAGAGATAATGGTTTGAGCACAAGCAGGCTATGAGGAGGTGATCCCAGGAAGTACCAGTAAAGGGTAGGGAAGTGAGACAGGAAAGGGAGCCAAACTAAATTAGTCAAGGATGTTTGCTGAGCAGATGTCTGCAGTTTAGGAGTTCTTCAACACCCGCCTCAGATTCAATTCGCTAGAAGGACTCAGAACTCAGAAAAAGCTGTTGTACTCATGGTTACAACTTATTCAGTAAAAGGACGCAGACTGAAATCAGCAAAGTGCAAAGTTGCTGCAGGGTCTGAATGCTTGTGTCCTCCCAAACTTTTATGTTAGAATGTACCTCTCCCCACCCCAGGTGGTGGAATCAGGAGGTGGGGCCTTTGGGAGGTTCTCAGGTCATGAGGGTAGAGCCCTCATGATTGGGATGAGTGCCCTTTTTAAAGTGACCTCAGAGTCAAAGTTAGTCCCATCTACCATGTGAGGACTTAGAAGATGCCACCTATAATGAAGTGGGCCGTCATGAGACACCAACTATGCAAGACTTCTCAGCCTCCAGAGCTGTGAGAAATAAATTCCTATTGTTTATAAGTCTCCCAGTTTATAGCGTTTTGTTATAGCTGTCAGAATGTACTGAGACATCAACTATGCCCATGTAGCACAAAAGCCGCATTAAAGCCAGGGGCAGTGGCATGTACCTGTAATCTCAGTGACTTAGGAGACTGAGGCAGGAGGGTTGCAAGTTCAAGACCACTCTGAGCAACATGGCACCAAAAAAAAAAGAAAAAAAAGAAATTATGTAAAAAAAAAGCATTATGTAAACAAATGGATTTGACTGTGTTCCAATAAAACTTTATTCACAAAAACAGATGGTAGGCCAGATTGACTTGGAAGCTCTAGTTTGCAGACTCCTGATATATAAAATATCTTTGTATCTGTATCTTTGTCCACTTGTGCAGACAAGTTTATGGGATAAATTTCTAGGATGGAATTGCTGGGTCATGAGTTACAACTTTTATTTTGAACAGGTAGAGACTACACTCCACCCCAAAAGTTGAACCAACTTGCTCTCCCACCAACAGTGCAGGAGAGTGCTTGAGACTTCCTTTCTTAAACCCTTTTCTCCTTTCCCAAAGAAGTAAAACCTTTCAGAAAGGAGGTTCCTACATTGTAGTTCTTGAGCTTTGGACAAAGAGAGAAGATAGAACATTTTGCCCTTAGGAAAGTTATTGAATGGAGCTTCATAATAGTATCTTGTTTTAGATTCAAGGTCTTCAGGAAAAAGGACTCTCCTACTTGTTCTCATTTAATGGGATCAAACGTTACCTTGTCATAGGCATGGTTCCCAAAAGTCCTGAGTTTTATCTTTTTTTTTGCCGGCCAGTTCTGCGTTTTATTGAGGCCCACGCTAAGGCCTTGACTGTGAACATGCGCAGCGGGTACAGCCACTTTTTCCACTACTACTTCTTGGTCTTCAGGCTCTACTCATTCTTGTTGAGCCACCAGTGCATGGCATGGCTCTTCTTGGGCCACAGGTCCAGGGGCCTGTACTTCTTGCCCTTGTAGAATTTCCCAGGGTTTTCCGAGTCTGGTTAATGATGGTGAGAACACGGGCAATGGATTTGCAGACAACTCAAATCTTGGACAACTTGGACGCAGCTCTGCCTGTCACTTTGGAGACGTGCAGCTGGGACAGCTCTACCTTCAGGTCGTCCAGCTGTTTCAACAGCTCCTCTTTCTTCTTGCCACGCAAATCCCAAGCCTTTAATTTTGGCCATAGCTGCCCAATGCCATCGCCACCCATGCCTGCTTGGATGGAAAGAGCGAGTTTTATCTATTAAAAATAATTTTCCCTAATGCATCACAGAGCTCCTTAGCAAATTCCTTTTATTAATCAAAGATTCCAATTCTAATATTTTCCTTCTTTTATAAGGGACTTATATGTAAATGAGGCCTACCTTTGCATGCTGAACACGTTACAGATGTACAAAAAATATACTTGGTCCAATTTTTTGACAATTAGTTGGCCTAATACTGGTCATTCTTGATAAAGATGACATAGTGTTTTTATATACCCTTGTTTGCCCAAGTCTTTTAGTTTTTCAACAATGAATGGGGTTCTCATTTTTGTTTTTACATTTTTCTTTTCTTCCTCCATTTTCATAATTTGGAATTCTTGGTGTGAGCCCTACAGGGAAGAACAGAGGCTCGTTAGCCATCAGGCTCTGTCTTTGGACTGAATATTTTAGCTGGTTTATTTGATAATCGGCATCCCTCCTGGGATGCAGCCCGCCTTTGATAGGCTCACACTGGGTGAATCTGTGATGTTCCCCATTCTGGAGCCCTTCATTTATAACAGACACAGCCTGCTTTTCCATTAGCGAGATGGCATGCCTGGACTACCCACACACAGATAAAGAATTAGGCAGAACTTGGCCGGGAAGATAAATCAAGCCAACCATCTCATTAGGCTTGAAAGACACAAATTAAGCCTATGTTGGAATTAACAGAGAAGCCTTCCAAAGAGCCATGTAGCACAACGAAGGGTAGAAGAAATTGCCGTAGTCATTTCTTTAGCACGTTTGCCTCCACTGCATGGAACAGAGGAAGCATGAGGTCTTTTTTTTTTTTTTAAGAATTATTTAATTTTATTCATCCATTCATTTATTTTAATTTGACCAGAGAGAGGGGTGGTAGTAAAAAAGCAAGCCACTAGGTCCAGGACTCGAACCGTGATCAGCCATGTGGGAGTGTCCCGCGCCTTAGCCACCATGCCACCTGCTGGCCCCCATTTTTTTTTAAAAAGTTTATTCATTTATTTCATGAGTATGAGAGAAAGGAAGAGAGGCAGCCAAGCACCATCAACAGACTTTTTTTTTCTTTAAGTGCAACATCAACAGTCTTACTCCATGATCCTCCCCTAGCCTTCCTAGCCAGCCAGGATTCTGGGTACACATCCCCACTGTGTCCAAGTCACCAGCAATCTTATATGTGGATCTAGCTTCACTTGAGCAGCATACTGCTGGCTGCACCCAAGGTCTCTATAAAATCTCAACAGAAATTCAGGTCCAAAATAGCAAAACCACAGTTGTTGAGTCCTTCCTACATGCTAGGCACATATGCTGAGAGTTTTGCACACGTTATGTCAAGACTTTACATTGACTTGTGAGATCAAGTACTACTAAGATTACTCTTAACCAACAAAGATGCTCAGAGAGGTTACCTCACTTGCCTGCGAATCACAGAGCTCCATCAAGTGACAGGATCAGGACTCACTCCAAGACATCTTTCCCTGTGTTCACATCCAGGATAACTTGGCCTCCAAGGAAGCATTTGGCTATGTCCAGAGACATTTTTGGTTGTCACAGCGAGGGGCTAGGGTTGCTACTGGCAGCTAGTGTGTAGGGACCAGGGATACTGCACAGGATGACTCTCTATAGCAATGGATTGTCCAGCCCTTAATGTCAACAGTGCCAAAACAGGGAACCAGCAGTTAGTGTAATGGCTATGTTGCTGGACTCCCACGTAATCGACCACGGTTCGCATCCCGGACCTGGTGGCTTAAAACTCATGCATGTGCGTGCGTGCCCAAGATCCCGAGAGGAGAATGGAGGAGAAGGGATTGCAGCGTGACCATCCCCCCTGGGGGGTGATTTCTCACTTTCTGTCTCTATGTCTCTCTCTGTCTGTCTGGCAAGTGCACATGCCCTATAGCGAAAAAAACCTCTCCAAAAAAAAAAAAAAAAGTTAATAAGACTGTCTGTCTTATATGACCCCACTTATGTAAGAAGATAATATATGCATAGAATAAAAAGCCAGAAAGAAATGCAAAAATAAAAAAAGTCAACAGTGCCACAATTGAGAAGCTCTGCTTTAACCCTTCAACTGGACTAGAGTGACAGCTCACTGTTCTTTGGGAACTTTCCACTTGCAGGACTCCGTGGCCGTGTGGCGAGGCAATGGGATGAGAGTTCAGAGTTGCATATCACAGGTGGTGCAGCTGTCTAGCAGGAGGAAAGTCAGTGCCAAGGCTGGGAGGTGACACAGTGGCCGACTTGGGAAGGGACAGCAGCAAGCCTGGCAGGGCTGTTGTGGAGACTCACAGGAAAATGAGATGAGAAAATCAGGAAATTCTCACTGTGAAAAGAATGGCAAGGTCCCCAGAGTGATGACGCTATGCTTGCAGTTGAGGGATGTATAGACTAATGACCTCTGTCTTATCCCTGTCTCCCTGTGCTGTCCTCCCGCCTTCCTGTGCCTCCTCCCCTGCCCCCGTCCTTCTGGTTCACTAGTGTTTGGTCACAACATGAAGAGTAGCAACGACTTCATTGGAAGGATCGTCATCGGCCAGTACTCTTCAGGCCCCTCCGAATCCAACCACTGGCGGAGGATGCTCAACACCCACCGCACAGCCGTGGAGCAATGGCACAGCCTAAGGTCCCGGGCCGAGTGTGACCGTGTGTCTCCTGCCTCCCTGGAGGTGACCTGAGGGCTGGGGAGGAAAGCTTTCGTTTGTACAAAAACAAGACAGAAAAAAATGTGTCACACCCATTACAGCCACACCTGCATACACATTCACAACACACACACACACACACAAACACTCACACACCCCTCTTAAATCCTTAGAATTGAGAGGAACCTGACTACTGATCATAAAATGGCCACCCTCAATGAGTGAGGCCTGAGAACTTTCCAGAAACCCCATCCATATATCACAACCCAGTGGGTTCTGCTGTGAGATGCTGGCAGTACCTGCTCTTGTTGACCACTCTCACCCCCCACCCTCAAATGCACTTTCAACCCTCGGGCCAGAGAAGAGGCCTCCCAAAGGGTGTCAGCCTATATCAAGACTAAATGTACCTGGATTTTGGCCAGTGTGTGGGAGTCCTGACCCCACTACTCCCAAAACACACCCACTGGACACCAACTGGACAAGCTGCTGTTCCCTGGGGTTCTTCAAACCTTTCTCGAAAGGTGTAAGTATCTTCATCTCCTTAGGAAATGTGAGAAGTAGGTTAGACTATTTGGAGAAACCAAATGGCAACAAAAAATAATCCAGTGTAAGAAAATTCTCCTGGCTTAACTGAATTTGTCCTCGTGTTAGCTTACTCCAGGGGATTCCCTGGGAGTAAGTATGTGTGTGTTCTTGTATGTGTGCCCTCATAGGCAATCATATGTTTATGTCCTCTCAGAGGACCACAAGGTGAGGGGCTGGGACCTTGGTCCTGAGCACTCCCTTTTCCCTTATTCTCCTGTCCAGTGAGATTTCACCCAGTGTCTTCTTAATCTGTCAAAGATCCCACGTTGGATATTGGTAATGTGTGTGTGTGTGTGTGTGTGTATCAAATAAGTAGGATACGATAGAGCAAAAGTAACATTTTTGACTGAATCATGGTGATTGTGACCCACAGAAGACCTAATAAAGACCTGATGTGTGGACTAAAATGGCCACCACACCCCATCCACAATGATCTCTTTCCTTAATTAAATTCTGAGGGTCTTTCTGTGTTTGTATGTGAACCAAAGTCATGTTTCATGTGCTAAGGAATTAGTGTAGTTAGAATAGATCTCTCTATCTCTCTCTTTTTCTCTCTCGCTCTCGCTCTATTGGATGCTTCTGTATCTTTTTCCACAGCATACTGTCTGTTGTAATGGGGAGCTATTTATTGAAATTAAAGATTATTTATTTGTGCCATGCATTTGAGTTGTCTTTTTTTTTTGTGAACATGAAACATAGAGGATGGGCAAATGTTTCAGTTATCACTGCTGTGTAACAAACCATGCTGACAACTAAAGCAATGATATACTCGTGGGTGTTGGATGACAAAAATGTCAAGTGTTTGCAGTGTGTCTGCCTAACTTGAGCAGTACAAAATATCATTGATTCCAGTTTCGTTCTTCTCTATTAAACTATCCACTTGTTTAGAGCAAGATTCATGGCCTAATTTGCTTTTTATTGGCTATACCCCATTCAGGGCTTGACTCAGGTAAATGTCCCAAGGGCTAAGAATGGTTTCACCTCTTTAGGACACACTGAGTTTTGCAGGGAGGAATCTCATGGGTCCCTCTGGTTTCTTCTACTCTTAAGTGGAGGTGCCATGGAGGTCAGGGGGTTGAAGCAGAAAGGCTGGGTTAGGTTAAGTTCTCAGGAGAGAAAAGGTAGAGAAGGTGTTTTCCTTCTGTATCAAATGGCTCCATACTGTGATTGTACAGAAGAACTAACAAAATGAGGGAAGACAGATACATATTAGGCATTTAAGACTAGAGAAGGGGTAATTGGTGATTAACCCCATGGGCTTTGGACCCAAAGAAGCCGTAGTTCAAATCCTGGGCCCACCACTCCTGAACCGTGTACCCTTCCACAAACCACATAGCTCCTCTGAGCCTCAGTTTCTTCATTGTCTTACAGTACTTCCAAAGCAGATCTTAAATTTGCTGCAGATAGTTTATTTGAGAAATGACCCAAGAAGCATAAGTGGAAGAAAGGGAAAAGGGAAATGCAGATATAGCTTGCGTTAACTAGCATTGCGGGCAACTGGGGCTCAGTCATGTTGGAGATCCGTCTAGAACACAGTTAAGATTTACCATTGTGCAGAAGCTGAATTATTTCCCTCACCCTTTTCCCTCACGACAAGGGTTGCTCCTGGAGGCATTAAATGTTGGGCATTTCAGGACTGTCCTGTGTGGGCTGAGCAAGCTACCGCAGTACTAGATAAATTCCTGGATGGAGACAGAGGTGCAGGTACTTGATGAGGTTAGTTGTGTACATCCTCAGCCCAGCCCACTGTGACCAGGGGCAACTCAGGTGGACTGAGGAGTATCAGCCCTCTTGTTATTGCTAATGACCTTTATCAGCATCTACTCCCCTTACTAGCAGTAGCAAGAGAGCTAAATGCCAAATAGCTCGTCTAACCTCATGCAGTATACCTACCGGGAAGATACTGATGTGGCTCTTTTACAAATAGGGGAGCCAAGTTTAATGAGGTTAAATGATGAGTAAGCAGTAGAGCTAAAAAGGCACCTTGGGCCTGACTAGAGCCCATGATGAGTTCAACTATGTCCCCACAAAAATGATACATTAGAGTCCTAACCCCAGTACCTCAGAATGTGGCTTTGGAGATGGGGTGCTTGCAAAGTGGCTAAGTCAAAGTAAGCTTATTGGGGTGGACCCTAATGCAATATAACTGGTGTCCTTATTAAAAGGGGAAATTTGCAAGTGGAAATATACATAGAAGATGCAAAGAGATAGGGAGATGATGGCCATCTATAAGCCAAGGAGAGAGGCCTTCAGAAGAAAGCATCCTGTTGATACCTTGATTTTGAACTTCCAGCCTCCAGAACTGTAAGATAATGAATTTCTGCTGTTTAAGCCACACAGTCTGTGGTACTTGGGTCAGGCAATTGTAGCAGACTACTTCAGAGCTGGTGTGTTGAACCACTCTGCTGGGCTGTCTCATCTGAAAAACAGGGTGACAATTCTTAGCCCATAGGGTTGATGCAAGGATTAGCTGGAATGATGCCTGCAAAATCTCAGCATAGCTCTTGGCGCAGGACATGACGGCTATTATTACCAGGCACACATCAGGCGTATTGCTGGTTGACTGTCGGGAACAGTGGTAGGACAGATCAGAACCGTCCACGTCTCCAGGAATAGAGTTTGTCAGGAAACCAGAGAAATGTGTTGAAAGGTGAAGGAAGGACTGAGTTTCTATAGAAACCTGGGTCCAAGGTACCTTGTTGTGGGATACATACTTGTTTTAATTAGCATCCTCCTCCTCCTCAGGTAGGAGGTGGGGAAAGAGATACATGGGTCATTTAAACACCCTTTGGGGGATGGGAGGGGACTCAAGTTCAAAGGGAAAAGATGTGTTGGGAGTCATGGTAGGGAGTTTTAAAGCCACTTCTATTTTCCCAGGACCATCCTGAGGCTTCTTATCTCGTGAATGAAAAAGTATCACCTTTATCATCCTTAGTAACAACTCTGAGCTCAGGCTCAACTCCCAAGCTCTCAGGATTCCAGCCTGTACCCTGCATTTGAAGCAACTGACCCTGCCTGGCCCTGCTCGGTTGGGTCCTGGGGCACCAGAAACAGCTATCTTGTGTGCTGATTCTTCACTGACAGAAATTTGGGAATCACTGCAAGGGAAAGTAAAACCACTTTCTTTTCTGGATGGCCTGACTTCCCCTGCTGATGAATGATCTACTTTTATTTATATTCAAAAACACCATTTTAAAATAATCCAGGGGTGGGGGTAGCACAGAGGTACACTCTACAATGCTGGACCCACATGGGAGGGTTCAGCGGTAGTGTCTTGGGTCCTACCTAAGCAACCCAGGTACATGTGCCCATGATCTAGGCCAGCTGGGGGTGACTCATGGTGTGAAGACCCTGTCAGAGGTCCCTGTCTCTGTATCTTCATTAAATAAACTTAAAAACAAATGCTCTCAGGAACGATTAGTAGGTAGCAACTAAAACCTTATGCCTAGAATAACACTAGAAGGCAAGGCCCTAAAGGTTGATAGTGGTTATCCTTTGGGTAGTTATTTTATTACCTGACTATATACCTTCCTCTATAGTATTGTTGAAGGTTCTAAAATGAGCTAATGGGATCTAATAGATCTTAGTGCTTATCATCGGTCAAGTATTTGTATATGGAAATTGTATTGATTTGTTCCCATTTTGCAGATGAGAAATACAGAGGCTTAGAAAGATTAAATGACGGTGTATGATCACACAGCAGTATGTCTGGAATCTGAACACAGATGTACCTTATGGTTTGGACATGACTTGTCCCCCAAAGGTTCATGTTTTAGAATTTGGTCCTACTAAACAGTGACTGGATCGTGATGACTGGATCTTGGAGGTGCCCATCTCATGAATGGATTAATGTTGTCTTGTGCGAGAACTTAGTTCTACCTCTGATGAGAGGTCTCATTAGTACAGGCTGGTATAAAAGAGCGAGCTGCCTACAACTCACTCGCTTGCTCTCTCTGCATGTCTGCCCATCTCACTGCTTCTGTCATCCATGTTGTAGACCAGCTTGATGTGAGCCATATGCCTTTGGGCTTTCTAGTCACCAGAATTGTGAGTCAAATAAACTTCTATTTCTTTAGAAATCAACCAGTCTCAGGTATTTCTGTTAGCAAGCCAATAAGAGACTAAATCTGAATTAAGAGCCATGAAATGAACTAGAATCTATTATCTCTTTCATGATTGCCGTACAGGGGAAGGAGACATTGTTTAATTGGTAAATAAACAATCTTAAAAAGCTAAGAAATACAGCTGAGGATATTACTAGGTAGGTAATTAGACAGATATGGATGGGTAGGAGATGGAGAAAGATAGATATAGGTGGATAGTTGATGGATAGATAGTAGGTAGAGAGGGAGAGAATCTTTGCTGAACTTTAAGGCTGCCATGAACACAGTGCGTGTGTGTGTGTGTGTGTTTATGTGTGTTTAGGGGGTGGGAAGGGGATAGGGGATATGTTATCACTTAGTAAATACAACTTTAAGAAGCCAGAAAATATATATTACAAAGAATCTGCTGTAACTTCAAAATGACAGCAAAGATCATATTTGTTAAATGAAGAAATTGTCCACTTTCTGTCCCACAAACTTGAGGACTGGAGCAGTGATTGGTAAACTATGTCCTGGGGGTCAGCACTGTTCAGCTGCCTGTTTTTGTAAGTAAGGTTATATTGGAGCACAGTCAGGCCCATTCCTGCGTTTCTGGCAGAGAAACAGAGTTGAGTAGTTATGACAGAGTTGTTGTTGTTTTAAGAATTATTTAATTTTATTTGTTATTATTTATGTTTTAATTTGACCAGAAAGAGAGAGAGAAAGGGAAAATGAGAAAGCAAGGTGCCAAGTCTGGAGCTCAAACCACAGTGAGCCATGTGGGAGAACAACACCATAACCACCATGCCAAACTCTATGACAGAGTTTACATGGCTAAGGAATGTACTGTCTGGCCTTCCCCCAAATTTTTTCCTTTTCCTGTCTAGAGCAATGCTTTATGAAATTGAATGCACATACAACCCACCTGGAGGAACTAGTCAAAATGCAGATTCAGCAGGTCTAGGGTGGGATTTGAGATTACATTTCTAATGAGCTCACAGGAAAGGCAGATATTACTGGCCACAACCCACATGGGTTTGAGCAAGTAACAAATGTTTTGTGTGGTTCCATTCAGAGAGGGAACATGGATAATGATTTACAAAAACTTCTGCCATCACATTACAACACAGATAATTTAGGAGGTGTATTTGCAAAATCACTTCCTACTCCTCAAAAGGATTTCCTTCTCCCCATTTAGTATGATTACATTCAGAGGGACCTGGCTATGGTTTGGATGTTTGTTCCCCTCTAAAACTTGTATTAAAGTTTAATTGCCATTGTGACGGTATTGTAAGGTGGGACTTTTTGTGTGTGTGAGGGCATATGCACATGCCAGAAAGAGAGAGACAGAAAGTGAGAAATCACCCCCCAGGGGGGATGGCCATGCCACAATCCCTTCTCTTCCATTCTTTTCTAAGGCTCTTGGGCACACACGCACATGCTCCTGGTGAGTTTAAGCCACCGGGTCCAGAACTCGAACTGTGGTCAACTACTGGGAGTCCAGCGACATAGCCATTATGCCAACTGCTGGTCCCGAGACTTTTTTTCTAGAGATTTTTGCTATAGGGTGTATGTGCTTGCCAGAGAGACAGAAAGTAAGAAATCACCCCCTGGGGGAAGGCCATGCTGTAATCCCTTCTCCATTCTCCTTTCAGGATTTTGGGCACATATGCCCAGTGTGAGTTTTAAGCCACTGGGTCCAGGATTCAAACCATGGCTGACTACGTGGGAGTCCCACAATGTAACCATTACACCATCTGCTGGTTCCAAGAGGTGGAACTTCTAAGAGGCATTTAGGTCATGAAGCATCTACACTCATGAATAGATTAATGCCATTATTGTAAAGACAAGTTCACTTTTGCAGGAGTGGTTTCACCCTCTTGTTCTCTCTTGCCATCTAACCTTCCACCAGGCAATGACACAGCAAGAAGGTCCACACCTGATGCTGGCACTTTGATATTAGACTTCCCAACCTCCAGAACTGTTAGCCAATAAATTCTGAAAATTACAAATTACCCAATTGCAGATATTCTGTTATAGCAGTGTGAAATGGACCAAGAAGGACATATTTGGTTTCTAGACAGCCTCTAGGAACATGACATTAGGGACTTCTAACTTCAGCTAACAAGATAATAGGATGTGGAAAGAAAATATCTAAACTTTCTTCTATATTTATATTTTTTATATCATCCTTCAGTGCCAGTTGGGGGTGTGTGATTTATAACAGGCATAATATATTAGTACAATACCTGCACATCACTTATATAATAAATGTGCATTTTAAGTAAAGACATGAGTATGCATCAGCACATAGCTTTGAGGCAACTGGTCTACCAGGTGCGTTGCAGGCTGAAGTTGCTTTTGAGCTGTGCTCACATCCTGAGTCAGGCCTTGGCCAACTTTCAGTTCCAGTACCAGCAAGGCATGTTGTGTGGGCATGAGTTAAGTTATTCCTCACAGCACAGCAGCAGGTGTTCCAGAAGGAAAACGAGTGACTTGGAAGCCAAATTGACACGTTCCAGTCCTCCCTGTGAATGCCAGCCACAGAGGTGTCAGGGCACCTGGCACCTGTTTTTGGAGAGGAAACTGGGAGTCTGAAGTGGGAGCATATGGGTGTTGCCTAGAAAAGTCTTGCAATGGCTCAATGGCAACATTTGCTATTGTTTATTGAGCACCTACTACTTGCCAGCATCTCTGTTAAGTAGTATAAACAAGTTATTTCATTTACTCTTCATAAGATAGGTACTCTTTTGCCCCCTCCACTCCCATTTTATACAGGAGGAAACAGGCTCAGAGAGGCAAAGTGACTTGTCTCAGGACACATAGAATAAGGGGGAAAGACTTCTATTTTTAGAAATATTAATCCTGCATAATTGCAATGAAACTTCAATGTAAATACAGTTGGACTTTTTTTTAAGTTTATTTATTTTGTTCATGATAGAAAGCGTGTGCACACACAAATGGGGAGAGAGAAGAGCACTCTTGACAGGGTCTTGTTACACTGTGATCCTCTTTCCAGTTCCTCAGGATCTTGGGCACACGTACATGCATCTGGCATATTCTCAAACTGACCCAGGAATCTGAACCTGCAGTCACCTATGTGGCTTCCAGCATGCCAGTTTGGTTTGTTACTGACTGTGCCACCAGACTGGGCCCATACCAGTGGATTTAAAAACATTTAAGTCTGAACAAACCACACAATAGAGCATACACTAACCGTGACAGCTGCTCCTCCTTGTTGAGTGTTTACTCTGTGGCATTCTGTTGAGCAACTCTCTGTTGAACTTTCAACAAACTCCTCCTTTAATCCTCCAAGGGACGCTGAAAGACCCTGATGCCTTCAGGATCAGACCCAGTGGATGTGGATCTCGGTGAAACAAAGCTCACAGACTCCACCTGAAGGGGGCGCCTTTTCTCAGCTCTGTGCAACTGTTCGCCTGTGGAAATGAGGGCTAAGTCTTGTCATTTGCTCAGATTTCCAGTAGAAAACAGAAATCTAGACTTATACTCCAAATCTCCTACTTCTATACACTGATGACAGATTTTTGTGTATTTTAAAACACAGCATGGGCTGAACAAATCTCATCCAGCAGTGAGTTGACCCTGGCCCAGAGGACCTCTGCACCCAGCACAGACCTGTATTTTCACCTTCTGGTACATTCATCTTTACCCTGAGGGGCTGATATGCTTTATCTCCTGTGACGATCTGGAATGTGAGCTATGATATTAACCTATCTTACCGAGGAGGAAGCTGAGGCTCAGAGATGTGATTGCATGTCCAAGGCCATACAGTGGCTCAGAGACAGGACTGGAGAGCTAGACTCTTGTTTTTCTGAGGAGGGCGGCCCAGGGCTCCATTGCTTTCAGCTGTCGCTCTGGGCTGTCTCCAGCAGTGTAAAGAGGAGTGAGGAGAGAAAAGAAGGGGGAGGAGGGCACTGGGGTCCACCCAGTTTGTCCCAGCTCTGGCAGGCCCCGCCTGCTCCCAGAAGAGCAGTCCCAGACCCAAGCTCCCACTGACGGGTGTCTCTCCAGACCAGCGGTGGATTCCTCAGGGCTCAGGATGCAGAGGTGGAGGCTGTGGGTTGCAGTCTCCTTGACCATCCTGTCTACACAGGCCTTTCCACAAACGGACATCAGTATCAGCCCAGGTGAGTTCAGGGGCCAGGGCTGGGAGCTAGTTGAAAAGGAAGTCACCCCCAGGTATGCGTGGCTCTGTGAGGCCTGGCTGCCTGCACTGCAAACCTGCCTGACCCAAGGATTGCTTGGAGGCTGAACTTAGTTACCCTAGAGCTCCCCAAGTTCCCTCCATCCCACATTCCCCTCGTAGGCTGAGTCCTGGGTGTAAATCCCGGTTTTACAAGATGCTGGGCAAGTTGTTTAATTTCCCTGAGTCTCAGCTTCTTCTAAAAGTGGGGGCTACTGTGCAAGGGAGATGAGAAAATGGAAGAAGTGCTGGGACCAGCAGTTAGCGTAATGGCTATGTCACTGGACTCCCACGTAGTCGACCGGGGTTCGCGTCCCGGACCTGGTGGCTTAAACTCACACCGGGCTCATGTGCGTGCGTGCCCAGGATCCCGAGAGGAGAATGGAGGAGAAGGGATTGCAGCGTGGCCATCCCCTGGGGGGGTGATTTCTTGCTTTCTATCTTTCTGTCTCTCTCTGTCTGTCTGGCGAATGCACGCACCCTATAGCAAAAAAAAAAAAAACTCTCAAAAAAATAAAAAATAAATAAAATGGAAGAAGTGCTCAGCACAGTGCCTGGCAGCAAGCAAAGGTCTGAAAATGGTGTTTTTTACAGATTTGGCATCTGGGCACCACCCACCCCACCTTGTGACAGCCGCTCCTAGGCACCATTCAGACCCCTTAATGTGACACCAAGATTGGGCATATAGGGGGGACGGAATTGTCTCAGCAACACCCGATGTGTGGGAGGGGGCATCCCCAGGGATTGGGACCCATCAACCTCAGGTGTGTGGCCCCCTGGTGTCCCACTCCAAGGATGAAGGGGTTTAGATTAACTCAATTTCTTCTGCTTTGCAAAGGGGAGGCCGAGGTGCTGACTCTGGGTGGGAAGAGTCTTGAATCCTGCGATTTCCTATGGCTAGGGCTCTTGTCTGTCACCTCTCCTGGGTTCTTTCCAGACATTGGTTAAAAACTACATTATAGTAATAACAATAACAACAATAGCCTTTACTCCATAGCCTTTACTATGTGCCAGGCACAGGTCTGAGCACTTTTCACAAGTGGATTGATTTACTCCTCCAAATAGCCCTCTGGCAGAGGTACCTTTTCTATCCCATTAAAGGAAAAGCAAAACACCTGTTGCAGATTCTCATCTAGTCAAGTTATTAGGATGTTATAGTACTGGGGTGACTTAAAACAGTAGGGTTGCCAGAAAAATTTGCAGCAAATAGATACCAATAAATCCCTTTGTGTGTTTCATACATTATGGGACATATGTATATAAAGTTATTTGTTGTTTATCTGAAATTTAAATTTAACTAGGCTTTTTATTTTATTTATTTATTTATTTTATATCTGGCAACCCTGTAGTCAGGACAAGGACAAGGCGTAATCTTAGTTCATTTGAACAAACACCAGGGCCTTGAGTACTGCCATAAAATCTCTGAGTGTCTTAGCTCAGGCTGCCATAGCAAAATAACAAAAACTACAGGGGGCAGGAGGGTGTAAAAAACTAACATTTATTTCTCACAGTTCTGGAGGCTGAGAAGTCCAAGATCAAGGCATGGGCAGACTTGGTTCCTGGTGAGGACTCTTCCTGGCTTGCAGTTGGCCACCTTCTTAATGTGTCCTCGCATGGAAGAGAGAAAAGGGGAGAGAGCTCTTAAAAGGGATCTTCTTACAAAGGCACTACTCGCATTATGGGAGCTCCTCCTTCTGACCTCGTCTAAACCTAACTGTCTCCTGAAGGCCTCAACTCCCAATACTATCTGGAGTTATGACTTCAACATATTAATTTGGGGAAGCACAGTCAGTCCATAGCAATGTCTTTGCATATCTGCTCTAGGGTCTCAGTTTCCTCATGCAATAGGTAAGCAGGGGGGCCAGCAGGTGGCATAGTGATTAAGTCTCTGGACTCCCATATGGCTGACTGCAGTTCGAGTCCCAGACCTGATGACTTGTTTTCTCGCTTTCTCTCTCTTTCTCCCTCTCTCTGTCTCTCACTGGTGAGTGCACATGCCCTTCTGCAAATTAAAAAATAATAATAAATAATTTTTTTATAAAAAAATTAGCAAGCAGGAAAAAAGGTGTATAAAATATCCTTGAAAGCTGCCTGTATGACCCAAGATCTTGCCTTCTGCCCACCCAACTGAGCAGAGGCTAGGGCTGGAAACAGGAGAAACTAGAGAATTTTTCTCTCCCTCTAAGCCTCAAGTTTCTGCACCTGGAAAGTAGAGATGATAATGGTGTCTCCCAAGAGTGTGTGGGGTCTTCCATGAGATCGTGCAGGTGAAATGTTAAGCATGTGGTAACCAAGAGAAAAATGGAAGTTATTACCATTTCCACTTCTGTCACTGCCGTTGTTGATGCTATGATAGAATTGACCAGGAGACAGAGTTGTTGGTTGTGACAGACAGACTCCATCCTAGGAAGGAGATTCCAGACATCTATCCCAAGGCCTCACCCCTACTATAAGGGGACCGAGATCACAGCAGCCTTGGCGATCTCAGAGTTCAGTCAGAGTCCGAAGGCAGGATGCCACAAATCCCCCCAGCTCAACCCTGAGGCGACAGAGACCAACTGATCTGGCTAAAGTCATCACTGGTCCAAGTGGCACTTCTGCAAACCCAGTTCAATCCTGAGCAGACAGAGCCTCTAGAACAAAGTAATTTCAACCCAAAGAGAACGCGTATGTGTGAGCATGAGTGTGCACGGATGTGTGACTGGGGAGGGCGTATCAGGGCCCTCATGGGCCCTGCAGAGCGTGAGTGTGGGTGTGTGCCCAAAAGCCCTCCTCATGGAGGGCAGCCTGGTTTTCCTTTTGGCTACCCCCAGCCCTTTGATGCAAAGAACAGGTCGGGCTTAAACATGCAAATATATGTAAATAGCGCAACTCAGCCACACCCCCAGGCTTGCTTTGGAAAAATAAAGCCTAGAGACACCTCTGAGAAACGGGAAGATTAGTCAAACTAGATCCTTTCCAAAAACCTTTTTTTAATAAACCTGCTTTTGATCACATTAAGTGGGTTAGTGAATATAAAGTGCTTAGAACAGTACCTGGCCCCTAGTAAGAGCTACATGAATATTTGGTATTTTGATTCTTTAGCCACTAAAAAGATTTCTTTCCCTGGCTCCAGAACCCAAGAACCCTCATATCAAAGAAAAAAAGAGCATTTGAAGCTCAGGACCTGCTTCTGCTAGGCTTCAGGAGTGCAGGCAGGGAATTAGGTTCCATAGCCGTTTTCTCTCCACTCCAAGAATTGGCTTTGAACTCTCAGCTCTGGGAAGGTTCTCGAGCCCAGGCTGTTTCAGCAATAATGTTTACTAGACTGCACTGCCACTAGCCAGACACTTGCTTCCCTGTAAAGTAGGTACAACTATTATTCTCATTTTACAGATAAAAAACTGAGGCATGAAGAGTTGAGGACCACCTGACTGTAGTCTAAGTTCTTAAGCTGGAGCACAGAGGCCTGGGCAACTGGACTTCCCTACCTCCTAGAGTAGCCCTGATCCTAGACCATCTCTTGGACCCTCTGGCCCATTCCCACTCCTCCTTTATGGTCACAGGGCACCCCATGCATATTCTAGAACACTTCTTAATATCGAATAACTCATTGCCGTATAAATTCCTCCTTCCAGACTGTGGGTACCTAGAGGGCACGGACTTCATGCCAAGTAGGCATCCAAGAAACATTGGCTTAAATTAGCTTAATTAATTGTAAAGTTAGTGTTTAATATATTTATTTTACAGTCAACTTAACCAAAATAAGGAAAAATAGATAGTGTTTTCTGGAGGCACTATAGTGTTTAGGAATTGCCAATTCTGTCAGATCTGATTCTCGATCTTGGTACCGCTACTTGACAGCCATAGGAGCAAGTGCTTCAACCTCTCTGAGCCTCAGTTTCCCCATCTAGAAAATGAGAATGAGAATGGTCTCCTCTCTAGTTTGGTCTCAAGAAGTTCCATACTAAGCACCTCACAAATGGTCACAGCTGGTAGCAATGCAAGAAACCATCCAGTGCTTTTTCCTTTGTACCATGTGGATTCAAGAGTGTCCCAGAAGGGAAAGCCAAGCTCGGGCAGGAGAGACCTGGGAGGCAGTGCTGCTCACAGGAACCAGGGTCACTGTGAAGGAGGAGGATCTAACGTGGGACCCATGAGGCACCAGGAAGGTGAGGTGGGTGAGCGAGTCCCAGCAGCTACCTTCCTGGAGCCTGGGAAACCCTTTCCTCCAACCCCTGGGAATGTCTGGGACCCAGTATGGAGACTGGGTGCACAAGCGTGGTTCCCACAGCCTCCTCCACCTCCTCTCCTGGCTGAGTCCCAAAGCTGATCTGGGCAGGAGGCAGAAGGGTGGTGCGTCCGTGGGCGACTGGATTGGGGCCAGTGGAGTGAGCAGCCAGATTGAGTAGGAAGGTGACAATTTATTCTTTTAAAAGGGGGGGAGGGTGGTAAAAAAGAAACCTGAATTCCCTGGCATTTTTCTTTCCATAACGAGCTCAGAGCCTCCAAAAGCTTTGACTTCCACCTCAGATGGGAGACCTCGGGTGCCTTTGTTGCTGCTGATTGAAGTCCAAGTCCATGTGGTTTGACCTTTGGTTTCCAGAGCAACAAGCCCCTTTTGTGCATCCCTTCTCCTGCCTCTCTCCCTCCACTTGCCTCCCCCTCCACTTGCCCTCCCCCACCTTCAGCCTCATCTCTCTCTGTTCTAAGTTTATTTCTTCCATGAGCAAGAGAGACGGAGAAAGGGAGAGAGAGAGAGAGAGAGACAATGCCCATAGCAGGGTCCTGATGCCACAATCCACCTACGGCCTTCAGCCAACCCCAGGTCAAAGGCAGGCATGTGCCCAGTGTCCTCAGGGAGGGCCCCACCCTGGAACCCAGAACTTCCCATGTGGGATTGCCTTGCAGAGCATCTTGTTCTGGTGCACCACCTCTGGCCCCTCCAGCCTCATCTCCTCCCTT